GATGCCGCGGGTCCCCCCCCCCCCCGAGGGTTCCCCGGTCCTGCTAACGGGGATGCTAACGGGGATGCTAACGGGGCTATTAACCAGTAGCCACCCCGTGCGCTGGGCTGGGGGACCCTCGCTGCCCCCCAGAGCGTCCCGCCAGCTCCCGATGCTGTCCTCAGCCCATCAGAAAGGTCAGGGTTTGGGGGACCCCCCTCTGCAAGCGCTAAGGAAGGACTCCTGCAAGGAAGATTTTGTCTGAGGACACCCAGGCCAAGCGCAGCTGTGCCACCAGCTTGGGGACGTTCGGCTGAGCGCGATGGCAAAGCAAACTGGAGAAGTGGGGACAAGTCACAGGGAGGCATCGCCTGCTGCCAGAGACCACCCCAAGTGCCTTTTTCCATCCGCCCCCCCCTGCCTGGCCATCCCCCCACTTCCCGTTGGGCTCCCAAGCTCACACCGGGGCACCGTCACCACCCTCCGCCACAGCTACCCATCGCTGCTGCGTGGCCATTCTCTGCTGGCACAGGCAGGCGAGCGGCTCTGGACCCGGGCAGCGGTGGGGTCGCTTAGTGTTGGTGTCCTGCCCAGGGTGCCACCCTGGGTGCCACCCAGAGGTGCCACCCCACACCCCCCCCGAAGCCCTCACAGGCCCAGCTGGGAGCTTTGTCCCTCCGAAAGCCACCAACTCCAGCAAAGAGGTGGCTAAAATAAGGAGGGGCTGCGGGAAGGCCAGAAAACCAGCACTGGGGGACATGGCACTTTACTCTCCACGTGCACACGAGGAATGTGGTGTGTGCACGGAGGAAGGGCCGTGCACAGGCACCAGCTGCCTCCTGGGGACATCCCACCGGCAGCACAGGGGCTGCAGTGCTGTCCCCCCCAGGAGGGGCTGGGAGCTGCTGGTTAAGCCAGGAGCAACATGCCAGAGGGAAGCCAGGGACGGCCTGGGATGCAGCAGAGCCGTTCTCACACACGCGGTTCCCACCACCAGCGTTTTGCCCCATCGTTGCTGCCCAAACTCAGCTTTGCCCGTGTGGCACCTGGCACATCCAGCCTGGGGGTCCAGAGAGACACGCTGTGTCCTCGGGGACCTGGGCGAGCCCAGCAGGATGCTGCATCTCTCCACTGCCAAGGTCCTTCTAGGAAGGGCAATAAATGTTGTGAAAACACAGTGAGGCTCTCACCTCGTGCACTAACAACCGTGGCATCGTTACACACACGCCGGAGGAGCAGATTCCCCCCAGCAGCGTGCGCTAACCCACTTCAGCCCCAGCACCCTCCTTTTGCCACCCAGTGTGGTCTGGGCCACAGGATCCGCCCCGGCTGGCAGTGCCGGGGGCCCGGGGGGGCTGGGGGCTGGGTCCCCGGGCTGCAGCACCGGCCCTGCAGTGCACAATCTGCCCCAGTCCAGCGACCAACATAGCCCAGTGCAGCCCAGTGCAGCCCAGTGCGGCCCAGTACAGCCCAGTGCGGCCCAGCCCTGCACGGCCCTGTCTGGTCCTTCGTGGACCAGCCCAGCCCAGTACAGCCCAGCATGGACGAGTCCAGCCCAGCACAGCCCCGCATGAACCAGCACATCCCAGCGCTGCCCAGCCCGGTTCAGCGCAGCCCGCCCGGACCCCCCCGGACCCCCCCCC